AGAAACAGTCAGAGAAGAAATACAGTCTTGACTGCTGCTGCTCTTGTGGCAGCACTGCACTGAAGCTCTACCCAAGGTGGGGGCCACTGAAGTCTGTGCAGTAGGAGAATTTCTCAGTCTGAATTACAGGACTTTCCCATCATTCAGTTTTAACCACTTGCCCCCTCTCCCCCTGGAGCCAGTCCCAGCTTTTCTGTTGAACACATCTCTCAGTATTTTAAGATGTACACAGCAAAGCAGTGCAGGGCAGGGAAACTAAGAATGTGCTTGTACTGGTTATGTTCCTTTTCCTGGAAAATGTGAACTGAATGAAAAACATTCTTCAAGAAGATCCCTGCCCCTCCAGGGTGGACATAGGAGATGACTTCATTGGGGCTGTTCTCATTCTAATTTGTCTGAGTCTTGGGCCACACAGACTATATATTTTTTCAGTGCACTGAGGTGTGCTGGGATGCTGGCATTTCCTCCTCCTCATTTACATGGTCTTCCCATAATCTAGCACTAAGACAAGCTGAACTGCACAAGGACTCCCTGCCAATGCCACTTGGGGCTTGCTTATGGAAGACCTCTGGAGAGGAATGGGAGGTGCTCCCTGCCCTTCTCCTCTGCCTGTGAAAGGGCTGAGTGTGCTACTTCTGCAGAACTAAGCATTCCTGCCAGCCCATAAATCAAGTGAGCAAACTCCATCCCAATCTCTGATCCACTGCAGAAAAGCCCCATACTCTGCCTTTAAAGCACACACAGGGCAAAGAGCTGTATTTCATCAACTGAAGCCTTAATATCAGAGGAGAGTCGTTACCTCCTGGAAAAAAAAAAAAGCACAGCCAGAGTCGTACTAGTTCTGCAGCTTGGCTTCCCCATGTTTACACCAAATGACTTGTTGAACTTCATTATATACAAAGTATTTCCATAGATCAGAGGCAGGGAGACCTGTGCAGCTAACATAAAATAAATTACCACCCTGTGATAAATGGTTCTATTAGCAATCCAGATTGTTAAACTCAGATACAACAGGATGAAGGGAGCACTGCCCCATTCATTCTCCCTGCGGCAGATACTGAGTTGTAAATAGGTTATTTTGTGTGTAAATAACACATTAAAACTCAGCATTAGCCGTGTCTTTTGATAGAGAGGAAATTGTTCCAAATAAATAATTTCGGACAGGAATGTAAAATAAGCCAGATTTAATAGTGCATGCCTGCTGTAGCTGTGTTAAACATGACTAAAATGATAAACCCCAGAATATACTAATAGTAAACTATGCTCTGACATCAAAGTAATGAGGCTGTATTTTTACTCAGCTTTAGAAATGCTAAAATTAGTCTTGACAGAGCCAGACATCAGAAAAATGTTTCAAACATAAACACCATCAATTTGGGAACTTGGAGTTTGTGTCACGCAGAGGGTGGGGTGGAGAGGGAAAGGTGCATTCTGGACCTTGTTAAAGTTGGGCAGTTAGCATTTAGGAGAATTTGTATTTAATTTTTATTACAAGATGAAAAACCTATCTTCCTAAATATCTCTGCCTTTGAAAGAGTGGCTCATTTAAATTTCCCCTACAGTCATGTGCCTGGGCTTCCTCATGCCTGTAGGTACAGAGGATGTGTCAGAGCCAGCCTGGAGGACAAAACCCAGCCTCACCCGTGGTGCTCTGCACCAAACCCTCCCACCCTACACAGCAATGTGGATTTTGGCATTCAACAGAATGGTTTTCTGAACTTGAATAGTTGTATGTTGCCCTTCCAGAAGTAGAGACAATAAAACCAAGAGCCTCTTCTGCAGATCTAACTTGTCTACAGTTCCTACACACTGTCATTATAAACACTTTCCATCGCAGTCACACATACACAGCTGCCCCTACTGCAAGTGAAAAGAGAAGCTTTGACTCCCTGGCCAACATGATTTATGGAAAACCAGAAAATTAGGAGAGACTTCCCTGATGTCATATCTGTGAGGCCAATTTCTAAACATCTGATCAATGAGTTACTATAAAAAAACTGTCGCAGATGATGTTTAAAATGGCAGCTTCAGAAGACTGAGATGCAAATTTTTAGTACAAAAGGACTCTTCTCTACTGCCAGCATCAACAATATTGATCTCTTTTCCCACAGCCATAACTTAATTTGTTAGAGGCTGGAAACATTTGGGACAAATACCCAAAGCAAGGGAACTAGAAATGCAAACTGAACATATTATCTTATAATAATACAGTCTAACTAATAATATAATCAAATAGTTATTCTTCAATTATTTAACCAATATTCAGTTTATTCCTTCAATTAATTAGAAATAAAACCTTATGAATCCATTAATTCCTACAAGGGAAAAAGAAAACCTTATGATCTGAGAAATATGCAAAACGTGCTATGATGGCACTCCTTCTGTGTGACTCAGTAGAATAAAGGAGGAGAAATGTGTTGCAAATTACATTTGTTTGGCTCTGGAGAGCAGCTTGGTGATTTGCAGCGCTGGCTGAGCCTCATATGCTAGTACAAAGAGTAAAACTTCTGCAATAAATGAAATCAAGAGTCTGTCTTGGATGAGAATAAAGACTTGCCCGTACGGCTCCAAAGCAGGGTGGGGAGCTCAGAGGCCCCCCCCTTTAAAGCTGATGCCCTCCTCAAACTGAACTTCCTAATTAATCTCCAAGCCTCGTTTGCTTTCTTCTGTAAAAATATGAGCATAAATACTCATAGTTCTGGCCTGTTGTGAATAATTACTTTAGTTTAGGGCATCAAACATGTTACATTAGCATGAATACCATGTAAGTAGAGTCTCATCTCTACCCAGCCTTTTTGTCATCACCTGCTAAATCACACCTTGCAGTTACCTCAGGTTAGAAGACAAGTTTGTATCAATTTTCCTACTTTCAAGCACATGCACAAGCATGCTGCTGGCTTTCAGGAGCCTGTATTATGTCTAGCCAGAGTTCAAAGGGAAGCACTTGGAGCCACAAGAGCACGTGCATCACCTGCAGCGTCCCGCGGCCAGCGCCCGGCCACACGCTGCTCCACTGCTGCCATTTTGGGTCATTTATGAGCACTTTTCCTCACAGCGTGACACAGATTTCACTCTTTACATCTCATTACACAACGCTTTTATCACAATTCCCCTGACATCTTCAAACAATCCTCAACTTACTTCTCCACTTCCTCCTACTAAAAGCAGAAATATTGAGCCCATAAATCACTTTTTTCCAAAGGTGAGAGCACACTGCTAACAGAACACATTATACTAGATGCTTAAAAACCAATTAGGTCTCCAGGGATGCCACACGGGCTGATGGACACTCCACCTCAGGGCATCCTCATTTGGATCTCTGGAAAGGTTGTGACTGCTTCCTCAGTGGAGGCGCTCCCAAGGCAAGTGCCAAGTGGGGAGAAGGTGTTTATTCATAACAGCACATCTCTGGGTTGTGAATTTTAGAACATGCTTGGACTACGTTGGGGCCAATCAACCCTTCAGGTCTGCCAGTCACTGAGATGATACCTCAAGTGGGCTGCCTCAGTAGTTCCTACAGCCTTTGCTTCTTCAGGGATTTGCTGGGGGGTGCCAAGCTTCTGCACATTGCTGTCCCCCCTATTTCTGCTTCCTGGCAAGCCTTCCTTTCTGCCACTTTGTGTAGTGCTCACAAGGAAAGTGGCCCAGACCCATCCAGCACCACAAAACTGCGTTTCCCTCCAAACAATTTTATAAAAGACTTTTTGGTTGCTTTTAAGAAAATGTTTATCAAACACACAAACTAATCTGATAGATTACTAGCCACTCTACTTTATTCTGTGCATCTGAATCTTCACAGGTCAATTGGAAAAAGAAACCTGAGTAGCAAAGTTTACGGAAAAGGAGTGATAAAGCAGATTTAAGCCTTTTTGGTCGGAAACTATCTTCAAAACTCAGGCAACAAAAAACTCAAACTCTCCAGCCAATCTAAGTAAGAAAGAGAGGAGCTCACAGAAGAGTCATTCCGTTCTCCTGGGGTGATGAAAAACCACCCTGCACTGAAGGAAGGGGAGAGGACAGGATTATTTTGAGGTAGACTCTGACTAGCAACAGCATGTATTTCAAAAAGGAAAAAAAAAAAGCTGTCTGCAAAGTTTACACAGCTGGGGTATCTCCTGTCACATCCAAACTGGTGGAAACTAAATTTGTCTCTTATACCCTGTCCAAAGATGACAACCAGTCCCCAGCAAGAGGGCAGCTATGGTGGCTCCCCAGTGGGCACAGCCTGGCCCACAGCTGTGCCACCATGATGGGTCCTGGCACTACTCTGGATATCCACCAGCACACGTGTACCAGAGATGGGAGTGGGTTTTGCATGCCACAGCAAGCAGGAGGAGGCAGGAGCAACATCCCTGCATGTTCACCTGCACACCAGTTACATCCACCAGTAATGGTTCCATGCCTGCAGGTGTCCACAAGAGCTTCCCAGTTGACTTCAACAGAAGCAAGACCAAAATCTTGCTTAACACACTGATTTGAACAGGAACAGCACAAGTGGAGGGGTTTCTTTATGAACATTCCTGCACTGGCTCTGGACATTCCCAAATTCCTCTCTAACCATGAAATCCCAGCAGCAATGACTGAAGACCACGCAGTCTGTTTAGCTCATTAGCAGGATCACAGCTGGCACATGACACCCCTTTCTGACCAGGACAATGAGGTGCTCCCCATCTCCAGCCAGCCCCACCAGGCACTCTTTAACCATGGAGGAGTGGAGGGCACAGTGCTGCCAACACTGTGCAGCACCAGTCAGCTGATGGCAAGCATTGATGGGATGCCCCAACTCCCCCACAGCCACCCCTCACCCCAGCCCAGTTCTCCATCACACTGCAGTGACGTTTGGATGCCGCGCAGTGACACAGCTTCCAGATCCTCTGACAGCCCAGAACCCCAATAAACTCAGCGTGTTCACAGGAAGACAGATGCCACCATACTTATTAAATTCTTACAGTCTAATGAAAAACACCCCTGCTGCTTTCAAATTGTGGAAAACAAAGTACCTCCTTGTGACACTGCTGCTCCCGCTGCTGCTAAAGGAGGGGGTTTCTTCCCCGTCTCTGTAAAGCCATTCCCCTCCAGAACAGCACCTTTCCCTTCTTTTTTCCCAGCAGCTGTTGAAGCAGAAGTTTCCATCTTAGACGGGCATCTTCCAGCTCAGGAACCCTACAGGACATAAAACAAAACCAGATTCTGGTCACCACTCACAAAACAGGAAGCATAAGATGGTTTGGCAGAGTTCAAAAGCAAATGGCAAGCAGCAAAGAATTCCTGGGTTCCTAACTCCAGCAAACATAGGCACAAAGGCCACAACCATGTAAAGGACTGGGTGTTCTCACAGATCTACAAAGATCAGGACCAAAAACCAATCCCCAGCTAAACTTGGGCTATACAGTAAAGTTTACAGGTCCAAAGGGCTTTCCAGGGTTATAGGATAGGTGAGATACAAATATTTAGCACACATTACATGGATTTACCCATTGTATACATGACCTAGATCATCCTAAGAAAAAACTCAGTGAAAAATTTTCAATAAAATACAGATAAACATATATTCAAAGTGAGGGTTTTTTTCTATCCCACAGTGGGTGGCTATGCTGTGGGCTGGTATGGAACCAGTGTCATGATCAGAACTTTTCAGCAATGCTTATAGATAAGCCATAGCAGGTCTGCCATATCCCATCAAGTTCTCACTGGTGAAGTCTAACAAACACTGATCCCTTTCTCTCTCAAAAAACTTCTTCTATCCTGACCAATTGCATCTAAAAATCAGCCACAAATAGTGAATTAAATGCCATGAAATATCCACAAAACAAGAAGATACAAATAACCTAGGTTTTTAAGCTTAGGTTGATAAAACATAGAGGCTCCTGAACTTTTTGACCATTTTTTTCTGCATGATTTAGACTTAAAAGCAAACATATGGGTATCCCAAATTTACTGTAAAAACAGGGTTTCTCTAAAATGAAGAGGCATACTTTATTTCTGAATGCAAATACTTTGTTCCCCTCATTTTACCTCATTTGATATCACATATCTCCACCTGACTCCTCCTTGCAGGTAACCAGCACAGTTACCTGGCACTATCAGCCTCAGGCTGGGCTTGGGAAAACCCACTGCTAATTCCTCTTTCCTTTCTAATTTTAATGCAGATCTGCAATTTTTCACATGCAAATTTTCAAATGCAAATTTTTCATCTCCTGAAATACTCTGGAGCACACTGGCTGTTTGCCTCACTAGAATTAATGGGATTGGGGAAATATCTGGGAAACCAGAACATTTTTTGTGTGTGTGTGCGGGTAGTTTTACCACCATTGTGCCAATTCAGAACTTCCCTCCCTTTGCTCTGGAGGACTGACTTGACTCCTGAAAATATTGAACTAAAAGGTGAACTCTCCTAAAAACTTGAAAGCACAAAGATTTCAGGAGTTCCCACCCTGTGATGGACCTGGTGCCTGGTGGCTGTGCAGAACTGTCACCACTGCCTGGGCTCTGGGACAGCGTTGTCCCACCAAGCAGCTGTGTGCTGCAGCCTGAGCAGCTCATCCCAGGAGCCTTCAGGCGTGGCTCACGTTAATGGGACAATGAAGTGATGGATCTGTGGTCACAGTGTGCAGCTGTAAACTGCAGAGCTCGCACTGGAAATGACAGGACCCACAATTACAGGCTTTACTGATGACACAAGGCTCCGCTGAACACCGAGGTGGCCCCTCAAGGTCCTGCCCCGGCATGTGCTGGGCTTGATGGCAAGCATGGGATGTGTTCCTGGGGCCAGGACTTTACAGTGGTTTAATCCAGGAACCAGGTTGGGTTACAGGCCACGTATGAAATAAATACACCCGAACTGCAGGAGTATTTGACCTAGGTCTGACAGCCTGGGCTTCTGTTCGTTAAGCAAATAAACTTCAGAGGCTCCATGGCTAACCCCCCACCTGTTTCTTCTTAGTCCCTCCTTTCAAGGCTTTGCACTTTTGTTTGAAACCAGACGCTGGCCCTCGCACCCCAACCCCCCTTCTCTGGGCACCCTGACCCTGGGGGCAGCCCTGGGGGTGAGGGAGCATCCTCGGGCACTGCAAAGCTCAGCAGCCAGCGAGGGGAAGGAAGGAACTGGTAACAGGACTTGTTCTGTGAAACATGCAGATAAGAGCCATGGGTTTTTTTCCAGAGATGCCTGAAGCAAAATCTCTACATCCCTGCCACAGACACCTCAGTAGGGACCCAGTTTTTCAGATGTGTCATTTATCCAACTGGAATGTGACAGGAGATCATGCCTGTATTTGAAAATCTGGTCTTTGCAGCTGTAATGCTCTCTTTTCAGATGAATTATGAATTTAAAACAATATTCAAGTGTTTGTAATAAGTGGTTGTATTAAACAGGTAAATCCTCAAATACCAGATTAGAAAAAAAATAAATAATGCAACTACTCTAATCTCACAGGATTTAGGGTAATAAATCTATAATTATTTTTGCTTTGTAAAGGTGCCTGGGGCAGAGCAGGCTGACTGTGAGGTTCCGAGCTTCTCCCCAAGTCAGCAGCAACTAAAAGTCATTTTCCTTTCACAGCACCCCACAGCCAGAGCTGATCATCTCAGCCCAGGAAGACACAAGCATCCTTCCTGCCAGATCCTGCTCTGCTCAGCACCTCTGCCCACAAACCAGGACACAGACCAGTGAGCAAAGGAGCACCAACACTGATTTCATACCCCACCTTTTGAGGTTTCACAGACAGCAGCCAAGAGCTGGTGGCCAGCAGCCTTCCCTGTGGTGCAATGTGTGACCAGGACACAGCACTGGAACTCTGGAGATTTAGGTCCCCATCATGGACCTGCTACAGTCTCCTCAGTGTCCCTGGGCAAAAAGCTTAACTCCTCTCTTGCAACCAGTTTCCACAGCCATAAAATAGGAAATAGTACTTTGCCCTATTTGCAAAGTGCTTTGAGATCCTTTGAGGCACAAGGCTATGGAAGTGTTTTTATTACCAGTATAAGAAGATATATTGGTGGAGGCAGTCAATCCACACTATCCAGGAGCAAAACATTCATTTTTTAAGCAATGCATACTTTGCTTTCTGTTTGATGCTAAACTTTTTCTGCTGCTCTGTGCCACACAGAATTTATAAATTCAATGACAGATTAATCTTAGCAGTGAGCCATTTGGCATGAAAAAGGGTTTCACAGGGAGCCTGCTTTTTCCTGTAAAGAGCATGCATTTAGGAGTGACTATACAGAGAAAGACCCTATGCACTTATTCAAGCACAACTCTCTGCCCTCCGTCATTACTCAGAATTAGAAAACCAGAATGGATTACTCAGATTTTTCCTAAGGTTTGTAGCTTTCTCTGCAGGAGGAGGACTGGGTAATTGATTTTGACACTAATACCAGCACTATTCATATGCCCTGTAATATAATTCTGCAGTGACACTAAAAAGGCAGCCATCTGAGATCTGAACAAGGAAAGTGCTATATGATTTGCCCTAGACAACCCTAGCTATTTTAACAGCTGTGTTGTATATTAAAAGGGAGAAATCCCAACAGAATTAAAAACAACAAAGTCACATTTGCCTTTGAGGGAAAACAAGAAGCCGTAAACTTTCCTAATAAAACAATCCCTCCCGCCAAGTGCTTGAGGAATGGTCTGAAGTGCTGTCCGAAAATGCCTGTCTCTTTTGGAGGGCAGCAGCCTGAGCAGGACTGCTGGCAAACTTAGGAATGAACAGATACTCATCAGCCATACCCTCTGCACACCCTTTTTTTTTTTTTTTTAAAAAAGGCAATTATTTCCTTCTTCAGGATTGTTCTTTCATCAGGAAACCCCCTTCTCCTCCCCCAGACAGGGCAGAAAACATTTTTTTTCCTTCTCTGTGACAAATGAATGACCAATTTTGCCTATATCTGCTCAAAGAGTAAGCAGCACTATGGGAGTGATCCTCTCTGGCAGAGGGCAGACACTGCCAGTGACACTGAGACTCAGATCCAATCCTGAGTGCCACCTTCAAGGCTGGTAGCCCCAAGCAAGGGGCAGAAAGGGATTTCCAAAGCATGCTTCCAGAAGCCATCTCACTTTTTGGGAATATTTTGGGCTTTCTCAGACCAGTGTGTATTCTCTCTTCATTCTGAGTTCATCCCCACCTGACCTCCCCACACACAGCCCTAGCAGTGCCAGTGAGGTGGCGTCACCTCCAGGGGACACGCTGGACGTGTGCTGGCTGCTGACACCAGCACCACAGCCAGTGTCCATTACCACTGCTGCTGGCTCCTGGCAAGGCTGATGGGAGCTGGGATAACCAAGGGCAGCTTTGCACAGCTCTTGCCAGGTTTGTGCTCAGGCACCCACAGGGAGACAATAAATTCTGCCACGTCAGCCCTATGTAGGTACAATCCCAGGTCTGATAGCTTTTCCTGGTGTGCTGCTTTAGTGAAGATAAACAAGGACACACTCCCACCATCTCTTCTTTTCAGTGGACTGTATCATACAGCTAAAGCCTTCTGAATACATGATCCACTTATGAAATTCAGTGTGAGCCAACTGCTCTGAACATTGGCTTAATACAGTGGCTGCTGTGATCCTTTTCAGTCTCCCAGGGTTTGAGCCAAATTATGTTCTCAATTACGTGGAAGTAGCAGCAGTTAACCTGGTGAAGTCATAGGTTCTGTACCACAGCAAAACTTGACCCCTCTATTTTCTTTTATATCAGCAAATGCTTCAAATTACTAAAGAAAGTTTTTTCTGTCTAAATGCCACTAGTAAATCTTGGGACTATCCAAATAGGCTGTCTGCTGCTGAAGGACCTACAACTGTTTACAGAATATCAATCTCAGGTAAAAGCAGCATAAATATTAATTCAGAACTAATCACTTTTGAGGTCCTCCTGACACAAGGTTTCCCATCTTGACATTTCTTAGGAATGGTTTGCTTGGGCCAATCCTATAGGGTTGATTATACATGGAAATTAGAGCTGTACACTGGGGCAGTAGCTCCCTGTCTGGGAGCCACTCCTGCCCCTTACCCTCAAAAAAACCTTCTGTGGTGGGTCCCTCCCAGCTTCTGGGATGAAAGGAAGCAGAGACAAACCCATGCTGGCAGAAGCAGGGCTAGAAGGGCACAGAGCTGCTCAGGAGTTATGCTGGTTTTCTAC